TTTTCTGTCTTTTGAATGAGCAAGTGTGTGCGTTTACAAGGTTACAGTCAAACGAAAAACAAGTTGTTATGTTAAAACTGTCATGTTTTAGAATCCTCTCAGACGTAAATAGAGATGTTTTGCACCTGTGTCTTAGGCACGCCAAAACAGAACCCTCTCGGTCTGTGAGAACATTTCTGAGCTGTCTCATAACAATTCTCGCTGTCTCTAACCTATTACGTCACAAAAACACACCCCTTCTGGTCGTTTCTGACCAATGAAAAATCCCAAAAAGTGAACCGGGAAAGAGTCTTTTAAAATGTCAGTACTTCCTGGTCTACACAGACTCACAGAGACTCACAGACTCACGGAGTTACAGAGTTGGAGAGTTGTCAGACTTCAAGAGTTCTGTGGGAGTTCTGTAAACTACACGAGAGCTAAAGTTCTGATGGAGTGCTGTTGGAGTTCCTGACATGACAACGAAGCTCTTCCGAGTTCCATGGGATTATAACATTTTCCACTGAGGTGAATGTGTGTCGAACAGAGCCTCGCCACTACTTCTGACGGGCAACAGCCATTCTAAGGAGACGCTGGACCGGTAGCGTTAACGGAACACCATATCTGCTGATTATCATCAGAGAGGTAATGGGTCAAGTTTCCTACCAAGCGTACCGAGGCGAGCTGGGCTTCTGATGGAGAGTGTCGGTTCTGGTAACATTCAATTTCCCTCAAACCCCATCCTTTACTCCCTCTAAACTTCTTTCCATCTTTAAACTTTCCTATGAAGTAGAAATTCTCCCAGATATTTAGAAATGTCTGTGTAAAGTGCTTATTCACATCCGTGTGGGTAAAAGATCATAGTTGTACAGTTTTATAAATGTCTGTGGTGCAGCAACGGTAAAATCATGGCCGTATGATTTTTCCTGATTGATTGCTTATGTTGTTATTTTCATAATTTGCCAAATTAATGTAAATGTTTGATGTTAAATTTGATTCTGTAAATAAATGACCGCATTCATTTTGATGGGTCAAATTTAAATGACGTCTCACGTTTGCATTTCCTTAAATTCAATGCACGTTTTATTCAGTCCAGAAAAATGAGGAACTCGCGTTAAATGATGAATACATCCCAGCATCTGTTCATCTACACACATCTGGGTGGAACTCTGACGGACTCCACTCATGTGAGTCCACTCGTGAGGTGAACCGTGTCGGACGGAATACCGTCACTACTTCGGACGATTCACAGCCATCCTACGGAGACGCTGGACCGGTAGCGTTAACTGGAACTCCGTATCCGCTGATTCATCTTCAGAGAGGTAACGAGTCGAGTTTACTACCGAGCGTACCGAGGAAAGCTGGGTTCGAATGGAGGGTGTCGTTCTGGTCAACACTTTCCCTCACACACCATCTCCCTCCCTCTAAACTTCATCTTTCCATCTTTAAACTCTCCTATCTGTTAGCAAATTAATCCAGATGTTTTTCAGAAATGTCTGTGGTGAAGCAACGGAAAATCATGGCCGTATGGTTTTCCTGGTTGTAAAGCTGATTAATTATGTCGTTATTCTCAATTCTTGCCAATTAATGTAAATGTGTGATGTGTTAAACTTGATTCTGTTAATAAATGACCGCATTCATTTTGATGCGTCAAAGATAATTAACGTCTCACGTCCACATTTTATTACATTCAATGCACGTACATTATACAGTCCAGAAAAATGAAAGAATCCGTTTTAACAGTATGAATATATCTCATCCGTATGTTCTACTACAACGCTGTTGTTGTAAACTCTGACACGCCCTCACCTGAAATAGGGGGGGTACAATCACACGTCACCGACGGTGACCCGTCACAAACTGAAACCTCAGAAACAGCAATAGCTGTGCTAACGGTTCAGTCAAACCAGGGTGACACGAACAACAACGCTGCCGCTGTCATGGACAGCCACCAGAACCTTGTTGTTACAAAGAATGAGAGCCCCTCAACACACAGTGGGGGGGTGATCTCATACATCAATGATGGAGGCCCATCAAAAGCCAAACTCCCAGGAGCAGTAGCAACTGCACCAACGGTTCGGAAAAACCAGGATTACACAGGTGAAGGTAGATGTGAGAAGAAACGTCGGCCAAAACCTCCAAGGTTCCTGTGTAACCTGATCAGAAAGGGGGTCGCTGAGAAAGCTTACCTGTCGATCACACTTGAAGGGGTCGTCACACATGAAGCCCTACTGGATGGTGGAGCCGACATAACTATTATGTCAGTCAAACTGTTAGAGGAGCTCAGGACTGCCGCTAATAGTGTTCACAGGGGAATACCTCTCATAGAATGTGCTATAGGGCTGCAGGGCCTCGCGGAGGCGAAGACAACTCTAACAGCTATAGCTATGGTTCACATGCAGGTTGGCGAGATGACACTATACCACCCGGTATATGAGTCTCCGGTTGACTCATTCCCATTTTTGGTCGGCCAGGATTTTATAAATCGCTTTGAAGCGATTATAGATTATGGTAAACAGACAATGTGGGCTAGAGTGAGCAAACCCTTGCCAATACTCATGCCTCCTGAGACAGTCGCAGACTGCCCAACAGCAGGCACTGCAGAAGGCACCAAGGACCTCTTGACAGAGAACACAGTCCTGGTAAGTTATCTTTCAAAAGCACATGGAACCGAAAACACCCAACCGGTGAACCCGACTCTGACTGAACAAGTAAGCCTCCTCTGCGAGCTGAAACAGTCAGGGCCCACCGGATACTACCTACCTTTGGTATTTCAAGGTGTAGAGATCAGAGGATCCCACACCAAAGATGCTGTACTGTCGTCGGGGACAGATAAACCAGCTATCAAGGACGGAGACGTGGACGGCCCTCAGTGGTCCTCTGACCCCTCAGGGCTGCTCGCAAACCTGTCAGTACAACCTACAGCCGAGGTAATGGCAGTCACACGTGCACAGGCTACAGCCGAGCCGGCTGACAACACAGTCTCTGTTCAACTTGTGCTGACTGACCCAGACATCATCCAACTTCAGAAGTCGGATTGTGCTATAAACTCGATGATGCTGTATTTGACTGACCCAGGGAAAAACACTCCGTCCGAAGCCAACCTGGGTTCCAATCCAGACCTTAAAGTCCTCTTACAGCTGCGTAAACAGCTAAAACTACTCGAGGGCATCCTAACTTTAGCTCTTGGAGCGACGTCCTCACCCGTGTTCGTGGTCCCCCATGACCAAAGGGGGGTGACGTTAGTTAGGGTAATGTTACCAGACGTGATAACGTGATCAAATCTGACATTCAGAGTGAGTGACACACGGAAACGTTGTTTTCTAGTTGCTTAATCACTACTTTTGTCAATGTTGAAACGTTGTTTTTCTGGTTGCTTAGTCACTATTTTTGTCGATGTTGAGACATCGTTTAATTGGTTTTTGGTATTGTTTCTGAACACCCCCAGCAAGAATGAATTTTTTGTGTATTTTAGTTAGAGACTAAGAGGACTTTAACTATGCCAACATGCAGTTCATTTGTTAAAATTCAATCTTTGACGAGTCAATGTAGATTAATGCTACCTTAAGTACCATAATCTACAGTGGTCTCACGACGCTCAAGCCGAACCTACTCAAACAATCCTATTCGGGAGGGGCTAGCTAATCCTTCAGTTGAGTCTCGCCATAGACTCCAAAACATTTAGGGGAAAACCAAAAACCAAACCTCAAGTCTTTCGTCTAAAAGGACAACAGACAATTGAACCAAACTATATTTTGCCATGTAAAGAACTTAAACCAAGTTAGGAATGGAAAAATACTTTGGAATGCCCTTCTATAGGTATAAGTCCCTATATGAACATTTTTCAGCATGACCCACCCTTTAAACTGGTAACTTTAGCTGATCTAAACCATGATAGCTTACACACCAGGTGCATATAGGTTAAGGTCTTATGTAAAATCCCACTCATAAGCCCAACTAAAACCACATAAATGCATGACACATAGAACCAGAATGGCACCCACTGGGAACCACCAGCAGCAACCTTCGCTGAAGGGACCTACAACTCCAACGTGGGTCTCCAATCTCCATCCAGTGGTCGCCTCTGCAGTTCAATCGAGGGAACCCCTCTGCATGCTGATCAATCAACACCTCCAATCGTTGTGGATTTATCGTTGTTGATTATATGACTTTTTCCAATGGATTACAGACTTTGTTTCCAAGGGGTTAAAGCATTGCTACAATGGAATTACCAACAACATTATGGAATTACCAACAACATTGTGGAATTACCTAAACCGTTGTGGGATTACCTTTTCTGACTGTTGTTTTCATTATTTAAATATAATTATAGTGAGGGTACAGCTAAACTGACCTTGACACACTACAATATTATTAGTGCAATCAGCTCTAAATATTAAGGAAGTTAAGGAAGGTTAAGGTTATTCAGGAACATCTCCTCCTACATGTCTCTGCGCGAGTGCAGCTACAGCGTGCGCACTCAGGACATTATTACCTGCAGTGTTCCCTCAGTGAGGACTGAACTTGGCAAAAGGGTCTTCTCCTACTTTGCTCGTTTCCTGGAATATCTTGCAAAAAGAGCTGAAACTCTCGACCTTGACCTCACTAAGTGGCTTTAAACATCTGTTAAGTTCATGGCAAAAACCAATGCAGACATGTTCCTGTTTTTAGTTTTTTAAGTCGCCTTATAATCAAGCCGTTTTTTGCTACTATTCCTCTTGATTGTCCTTTTGGTTGCTATTTTGTTTTGATTGTTTTGATTTGTAAAATAAAACAAAGAAAAAAAAAAGAGAAACTTAAATTTGTATACCTTTGCCTATTTTATGACTGTCTACTGTTGTCATCACTTTTAGTTGAAATCAGGTCTCTTGTAAATGAGTTCCAGAGGCTTTATGGGACTAACCTGTCTAAATATAGTTTGAATGAATGAATGAATGAAATACAAAGATGAAGCATTGCTTTTTATGGTTTTTAAAGTCCTGCCATGTTTCTGTTCCATGTTTCTGTTTTTGCTCTTAGCTAATATGTCCAACTCCATGGTGACAGAGACATACCAGTTTATGGACTGGTCCAAGGTTCCTGCAACTCCGATGGGCTCAAATATAACAGAGTGGGAGCGAGATGGCCTGGTGGCAGTGGCAGAAGTGGTGGTGCTGGCAGTCATTTTACTGTTGGCATTAGTTGGCAATGGGTTGGTGTTAGTGGTGTTGTTTAAGAGGAGCCTACACCACAGTCCACTGCACCAATTTATGCTCAACCTCTGTGTGGCTGATCTGGTGGTGGCATTGTTCCAGGTAACACACAAACACACTTTTTTTTCCTGTAGCGCCAGAAGTTCCTTTAATATAAAAATACAGTGTCCTTAAAAGCAAGAATTAACCCTCAAAAAACAAACCTAAAACCTACATGGACCACAGTTTATTTTAAGTACCATGAACCAGAACAGTGGACATGGGCACCAGTGACCCCTGTGACCCAAAAAGGAAGAAGAAGTTAAAGATAATGAATGGCTGGAACCAGAACAGTAATATATAATCATCAGTATGGATTTTCCTGTTAGAATAGAACTCCTGAGCAGGTGTAAAATGGATAGTAAATGGACTGTACTTATATAGCACCTTTCTATCTGATCAAGACACTCTAAGCTCTTTACAACAATCTGTGCCCTCATTTACCCATTCATACAGCACTCTACTAGACCTCTACAAAGCAAATTGAACAAATCATTCTAATGAGACTAATCAGAGCTTATCACATTCATACACTGATGGGACACACATCGGAGGCGATGAGGGGTTCAGTGTCTTGCCCAGGGACACTTCGGCATGGGGCTGCTGGTGGATTCGAACCCCCAACTCCTGCATTGAAGGACGACTGCTCTAACCACTCAGCCACAGCCGCCCGCTCTTGTATGAAGACTTTTAGTGAAATGGTAAATGCACTGTATTTGTGTATATAGCACCTTTCTATCTAATCAAGATACTCAAAGCGGTTTACAACACAATCTGTGCCCTCATTTACCTCCACACACCCATTCATACAGCACTCTACTACATCTCTATGAAGCTAATTGAACAACTCATTCTAAAGAGACCAATCAGTTATTAGATCACATTCATACAATGATGGGACACACATCAGAGGGGTTCAGTATCTTGCCCAGAGACACTTAAACATGAGACTGCTGGTGGAACTGAGCCCCCATCTCTCCCATTGGAGGATGACTGCTTTAGTCAATTCAATATTCAATTCAATTTATTTATATAGCACCAAGTCACAACAGAAGTCGTCTCAGGACACTGAACAGAAACATGCATATTTAAAAATAATAATTTAACATTATTTATCTGAGGAGCAGACTGCTTTGAATTTAACTCCATCGCAGAACTCCCATCTTGAGCAAGAATGAAGGCGACAGTGGAAAGGAAAAACTCACTCAGGAGGAAGAAACCTTTAGCAGAACCAGGCTCTGGACAAGCGGCCATCTGCTTCGACAGCCACAGTTGTCCCAAGTGCCATCACATTGAGCTGATGCTGAGTGTGGGTATTAAGTTGATAATAGTGCCGTTTGTCATGCATGCCTTGCCTTCAACTCTCACAGATGCTAGCTCAACCTCTGTCATGTATACACTCAACTCTCCATCTCACCTGCTCCTGCTCACACAAAGTATGGCGAGCACAAGGAAGGACAGCCTATAGCTATCAGCGACTACAGACCAATAGCACTTAAATAACAGTTTTTTAGTCCTCAGGCTCCTCTCTTGTAGAACCAACTTCCAGTTTCTGTCTGTGAGGCTGACATGTTGTCCAGTTTTAAGACTGGGATTAAGACTTTCCTTTTGGATAAATCCTATAGTTACGGTCGGCTTGGGTTTCCTAAGCTAGCCCTTAGTTTTGCTGCTATAGGCTTAGACTGCTGGAGGACAAACTTACCACACTTTTTCACTCTGCTACTGTCTTTACTTACTCTGCTCAATCTGTTTTGTATTTGTAATTATTTTTTCTATCCTTACCATGTGTTTGTCTTTCAGATACACCTGGACCTATATCTGGACCTACCATTCTGTGTTTGTCTGTCTCTCCTTTCTGTCCTCTCAAACCACCCAGTCAAAGCAGATGGCCGTTTGTCCTGAGCCTGGTTCTGCTGGAAGTTTCTTCCTTTTAAAAGAGAGTTTTTCCTTTCCACTGTTGCCACTGTGCTTGCTCAGGATGGGAGACTGTGACGAAGCCAAGATTCAACTTGTCTGCTGCTTCCTTAGACAGAGAACTTTACTAATCGTCTTTTCTATGTATGTGAATGTTCCTGTAACGTGCCCTGAGACAACTTTGTTGTGAATTGGTGCTATAGAAATAAACTGAATTGAAATGAACAAGCAGACCACAGTTCGTGAGACCACAGAGGAATGTCAAAAAATTAAGTTTCTTTCTTCCCCTCTGTCCTGTCCAGCATTGTGACACTCAGAATTATTGTCTGAGTGTCAAGGTGAGCTCCAACAGATTTACTTTCACAAACAGAGCATTATGGCTGGCCTTAATACTCTGTTTGATATATAAATTAAATTTTATTAGAATTTGCTTTGGGTTTGTTTCAGATGTAATGGACAGGGGGATGAAAAACAAAGAAGAAAACAAAGCAGAAAAGTAAGCAAAGGGTTAAAAGGTAAAGAAGGAGATAGGAATGGAGGAGAGAGAGAGGGATAAAGAGAACACAAATCAACATCATTGAAGTCTGACTCTAGACCTGTGGAAAGAAAAAAAAAAGAAGACAAAACCGAGAAACCACAACAACAAACAACAAATATAATGATACTTATATCATTAGAAACTATTTTATACAGTATATGGTAATACAAGATATATTTAGTGGCCACCACAACCCAATTGAGTGTGTATCTGATAAACACCTGGATGTAAACACCTGTGTGAGCATGCTTGTCACTATAAGGTTTCTCCATAAAAATGTTCAATAATGGATGTGGGGACCCACAGACCCGTCCCCACAGGACACGATGGTAACACAGGGAAGACCGGAACCACAGACACACAGCGGCCCCCAAACCTGGAGCTCCAGGAGTCCCCCAACAGGGACAACCACACTCCCCCAGAGAGAGAAGCAAAGGGAAGCCCCGGGCGACCCCCAGCAACCACAATGCAGAAACCACAGGAGGCTGCAGCGACGAGTCCACAGGTCCCGCCGGCAACCTGCCCCTCCAGAGTAGATCTGGCCACGGACACCGAGCCCCAAGTCCCAAGGTCATACCACCCCCCAACAGAGGCCCGACAGAGCCAGGGCACCCAGGCTCTGGCAGGCAGCCACCAGGGCGGGCCTGCACACACCCCACCACCCAGCCCCAGATGTTGAGAGCCATCAATGCACCGACGGCAGGGGGGCCCACCACCGGAAGGGAGCGTGAAAGGGGGGAGTAGACCCCATATTAAATGGGGGCCCCAAATTGATCCAAGAGAGGGTACCACCTAAAACCCAACCCAAGACATAAGCAGGAACACAGAGACAGCCCGACAGAGCGTCTGTCGGGTCGTCCATGGGCCCCACCCACCCGACAGTGACCGTAAGTTGGCACCAGGCCGGGGGCCAGAGCAGCAGGGAGCAGCAGCTGAGGAAGGCCGGCCCAGCGCACTAAGGACCAGGCACCCCAACAGCCCCACACCACAGGTCCAGAGAAGCCCCGGCATGCCACTTATGCACCCCCCATACACATAGCACCCTCCCACCGCGAATGTCACACAGGCCGACCAGCTAGCGCCCCGTCAAAGCGAAGCCACGTCCCCGACCACTGCCAAACATCACCAACGACCACACACACACAACCACAACTGACCCCCCGCCGGAACCCGGCAGCCACACAAGCCAAAGGGCCGGCCATCGCAACCAGGAACCTTGATCAAAAAATTTGAACAACCCAGGGAGAACCGGAGCACTGGCCCAATCCCCAATCGTCCCCCCTCCAAGGCCCAACACCCACCCACAGCCCAGATCCCAACAAGGCAGCCTACCCCCCCTCCCTGCCCCTGACCCCAAATGTCAAACAGAGGACGGGGGTGTAAGGAAAAAAAAAAAAAGAATAAAAAAATAAATATATATACATACATATATACATATATACATACATATATACATATATATACATACATATATACATATATA